CCAACATGGTTCCTGGAAGTTGGATGTTCAAGGCCCCATCTTCGAGGGATATGGGTAGACATTTCCTCTTACCTGTTGTATCTTCCAGTGGGGACTTTGGTAGAGATTTCCTCCTTTACTTACCTATTGTATCTTCCAGTGGGAACTTCTTAGATTCCCTCTTATTGTATCTTCCAGTGGGAACTTCAGTAGAGATTTCCTCTTGTTGCATCTTCTAATGGTGACATTGGTAGAGATTTCTTCTTACCTATTGTATCTTACAGTGGGAACTTCAGTATAGATTTCCTCCTACCTGTTGTATCTTCTAATGGTGACATTGGTAGAGATTTCTTCTTGCTCTCCTTTTGTATCTGCCATTGGGACACTGGTAGAAATTTCCTCTTCCTTACCTCTTGTATCTCCATGATGGGAAGTGGAGAGTATTCTATCCAAAGCACACAAAGATTCCAGTAAGAATGACTTTTGTATTTTAACCATATTTGTTTATTTCAGAGTTGAGCTTTAAATATGTGTTTCTGAGCACAATACAGAGGTTGGTGGAGTTTAGTTCGGCGCAGTGACTGTGTGATCAAGTAGTATGACAGTCTTTTCAGGATAAGGACTTGTATTGAGTAAAATATGTTTTAATCAGATTGGCAATGTGCCATTGCTATTGTAAAGGGCTGGGAGTTGCGAGTTTATGAAAAATAATCAAATATTTCATAATGTGTTGGGTCATCAGTGGTGCCCCCTCATAATTTTGAGAGACGATTGTATAAAAGAGAGACGCAGCATGTGTGATTAAATTCTAAGAAACTGTCTCGAGGTGTATTGTCAGCTTTGTGGGTTGAGGGTTTCCTGAATATAACTATATAGAAAACCGTAAACTGGAGCACATTTCAGGAAAGGAACAAAGCTTGATGGGCAGTTCGCTCAGCCGTACTGTCCGCTCGTGTGTAGCCTGCGCCGTCTCCATAGCGATGCATTATCCCGTCTCCGCTTCTGCGGAAAATCGATTTGTGGTGCATTCACCAGTATGAGCCAGTAACCGAGCCAGCTATTGTCTAGGTGTGACCAAAATGTTTCAAACATTTTTTTAATTTTTTTTCCCCAAAATAGAGGGAGCATTACTTTAAATGAAACTCTCCTCTCCCCATAGGTAGCGTCCTTTTCCCAGAATCTGCGTCATTTGGTGACTGAGCCCTGTGGTGGTTAATTGCAGGCGGCTCTCTTCTGCAGTATGACCTCATTCTCTGCTCGCAGCTTGTCTGCTGCTAGGCTCATTAGTGCGTCGATTACGTGACTGTCTTTAGCCGCTCCCGAGTTCTGCTATGTACGGATGAATAGATCTATACTCCTCTCCCTGCGGGGGGTCGTGTTAAAGTGTACCCGTCGCACGTAAACAGTGGCAGCCATTTTGCGAGCTTAAGACTTGTTACACCATGCCACATCGATGTTGCCAGCATTGCCTGTGGGAAGAAGTCATTTTGTGTGCTCAACTGAAACATTAACACTTTAAAGGGAACTCTGAACTAAAATATTCCTGCGGTTTACTAATGGAGAATTGCTCAGATCGTTTGACAGCGAGCGAGTAGAAGCTTGCTCCCACCAGCATTGCCCAACGCAGACCGAAAGCATAAGCCAGGCAATTTGCCTTTATGCCTTACGATTTTGGTTCACACCGATGCCCGGCACTTAGGGTGTGCTTGAAGAAGTAGGAACAGTTGCATTTTTTTTGTTCAACTCATTGCAATGTGCTGCCGTGTGGGGTGTAGAGTTGGATTAAATATATTGTGATCTTTCAACAAAGTTTAAAAAAGCGTACAAAAGAAAAAAAAGCATCACACCACCTGTACACATGCGCCTATACACACCAGAGGGCGTGCGTTATGCAGAGCGTAGATTGCCCGCTGGTATGAATGGGCCGTACGCCGAAATGCCTGTTTTGTGTACTTGGTCAGGATCAAGACAGTTGGCCACCATGAGAACCAGAATGCTGGATTATTATTTAATATATTTTATTTTTCTGATTCGAGAGTTGCTGTTTTTATGACATGCAAGGACAAATGTCTTCCTTTTGAGTGGCAACCACCTACCGAAATGTTTGCCTTTTATCCCAGGTTCCGAGTTGCCCTGCCCAGCAATGTACTACAGCCTTTTCAGAAAGGCCTGTATGTGTCCTCCTGGCCCATTAGTTCCTATGGTTGTATCCAGAGGAACTAATGGGCCAGCCATATAGGAGTATGGCTGTAGTCGTATGATTGGATGGGCTAAGCAGTGCCCATGTGCAGCAAAAGCTGGGCCACAGCTCGGGCTTGGGGCTGAAGGTAAGCATACTAGGTGGATCATTTAACACTCAAACTGCTGTGGATGTAAGCCTTACAACTGGGCAAGACTCTTCCAGCTAGCCAGGTCTGTGCGCTTTATGTCCATGAAAGCTTCTGGTTGCTTCAGCGATCAGGTGCTGCCGAGTAAAAGAATAGCAGTGATCAGCGGTGATCAAGTTTTGGATAGACTGGGGAAGGGTTAGACCCTCTGTCAAGTTTCTGGCCTCATTCACACTGGCAATGATGTGCATATACAGTATGTGTTTTATAGGATATTTCTTAAAGCGGAAATTTCCCATTAAGAAAAGTCCCATCAGCACACATCTCTGCATGCTGATGTGAAATCCTCTTAACATTGTTTTTATTATTTGGATTTACTTGCCTTGTATCCACTGCCTGGTTTCCCTGAAGGTTCTGATGTAATCTTGGCCACACTGATACCCCCTGGGAACGCAATGTCATCTGTGGCTATAGGGAGACCTTGCACCTAATCTGTGAGAACCTGCAGTATTATTGAGCTGGGTATGTATGAGATGAAGCACATGACAATATACGACTCATCTGGCACATGCACTGCGCAGCATTACATTCATCAGTTAACCACTTCAAGTCCGGACACTTTTACCCCCTTCCTGTCCAGGCCAATTTTCAGCTTTCAGCGCTATCACACTTTGAACGACAATTCCACGGTCATGCAACACTGTACCCATATGAATTTTTAGCATTTTTTTGAGACCGATAAAACTTTATTTTGGTGGTATTTATTTACCACTGGGATTTTTTTGCTATATAAATGAAAAAGTCCAAACATTTTGGAAAAAAAAAAGTGTTTTTCTTATAATATTTTGCAAATAAATAATCTTTCTTCATAAATCTTGGCCAAAATGTATTCATCTATCTTTTTAGTAAAAAAAAAAAAAAAAAAAACCAAATTCGTTTATAACCAAAAATTATAATTTTTCAGAAACATTTTTTTACATTTTTATTTATTTTTTTTTAAAACATACTATCACCCTAGCAGTACAGTGTCACCATAGTGACACTGTACTACTTGGGGGTGATGAAGATTTTTTTTTTTCTTTTTTTACACTGATTGCTTTTACACCCATAAAGGCTGTAAAAGCAATCATTTCTCCTCTCTGGCTGCATTATTGCAGCCATTGAGAAATGCTGTGAGAGCTGTGATTGGTCACAGCTTGTCACATGGTACAAGGCTATTCACAACAGCCTTGTACCATGTGACCTCTGTGATCATTCACAGATTTCACATGTAGTAAGCAATGATGTCAGGATGTGACATCTGGTTTACTACTGTTCCTGTGATCACTGATTGGCCAATCAGTGATCACATGAATCGGGACCTCACACAGAGGTCCTGGACGTACAGTGGGCACGGGATCGCGGTGCCGCGCGCTCCCAGGTAGCGCGCCCAGGCAGTAAATGTGGAGGCCGTTTATAAACGGCCACCCACTCCTGCACTGCTCCCGTCCAGTCGTTTATGTACATGGGCCAGACGGGAAGTGGTGGAAAAAAAAAAAAAAACCTCTCAATGTCAGAGGAGGGCTTTTTTTTTTTTTTTTTGTAAACAAATGTAATGTTCTACACATGCTCCAGATGAGATACATGATGACGTCTTGTGCTCCATCTCACTATTTGCATTAGAACTAAATTATGATGCGACCCCCAGAAAGATTTTTCAAAGTGACGCCACAAGTGCATAGGCAGCAGGGACGCACAATGAAGGGAATGAGAGGAGAGGCAGCATATAGGTATCTGTGCACTTATTTATGTTTAGATTATCTTCTTTTTTTTTTAAAAGGTTTGGGGGGAAGGGGAGCTTTTTAATGGCCCTTTTTACAATGATTAGTTTTTGATGCTGTCCTATTGACTTACAATGGAAGGTGCTTTTGAAAAACTGCACCAAAGATGCAATATGCAGGGCTTTTCAAAGCGCAGCGCACCTGCAGCGTGAAGCGTTCCATAAGATTTAGGCTCCGTTCACACCAATGCGTTTTTTTAGTGCTTTTTGCAGAAGCGTACTACAGTCCATGTAACATGATCTCATCTGTGCTTTTTTGATCTGCTGCATTTTTGGAAAGGGCCAGGGAGCTTTATAAAAGCAAATGCAACATTTTTGCTATAATGAAGTTCAGTGGAGAAGCTGCTGAAATGCATGGTAGTGCGTTTATTTTTCTTTTGCCACGTTTTTGCATTTTTATTCTGCCCAGCAACAAAACAAAATTCCACTTTAACAAAAAAAAAAGTGTTAAACACAAACGCGTCAAAGACACTTGTAGAAAAACGCAAAACAAACTGCAAAAAGCACTTGAGAGAGCCTCAAACACAAAATGCATATATGTGAACCAAGGCTTAAAGGGATGCATTTTTCTTCTGCTTTTTAACCAGTTGCCGACCGCAGATAGCCAAATGACGGTTACACTGCGGCCGGCCAGTTCTGGGAGGGCGTCATATGCATCTTCCCAGAACGCACTCTCCTGCGCGCCCCCTCCAATCTCCGTGATCGTTGTGTCCTACGTACACAGCTGATCACATGATGTGGAAAAAGGCCAATCACAGCGGCCTTTTACCACGTGATCAGCTATGTCCAATGACACACTGATCACAGGGAAATGCAATTGCCGGTTCTCAGCTGCACTTTCCTCATGCTGTCAGAGCGTGAGGAAAGTACTGCCGAGAACCGGCAGTTGTCAGAGCGGGGATCGGCACCGATCATCAGGGCACTGATTAGTGCCCTGATGATCGGTGCCCAGCAGTGCCACCCACCAGCTCCGCCCACCTGTGCCCAGCAGTGCCACCCACCTGTGCCACTCACCTTGCCCAGCAGTGCTGCTAGTCAGTGCCCAGCAGTAACGACAGTCAGTGCCGCCTATCAGTGCTGTCTATCAGTACCCATCATCAGTGCTGCCTATCCATGCCACCTCATTAGTGCTGCCTATCAGTGCCCTTCAGTGCTGCCTCATCAACGCACATCAGTGAAGGAGAAAAATTACCTGTTTGCAAAATTTTATAATAGAAACAAAGAAAAATTTTTTTTTTCAAATTTTTTTGCGCTTTTTTTGTTTATAGCGCAAAAAGTAAAACACCCAGCGACTATTAAATACCACCAAAAGAAAGCTCTATTTATGAGAAAAAAATGTCATATGGGTACAATCTTGCATGACCGTGCAATTGTCATTCAAGTGCGACAGCGCTGAAAGCTGAAAATTGGCCTGGTAAGGAAGGGGGTATAAGTGTCCGGTAGGCAAGTGGTTAAACCCCAAAAGTGCATCAAAGTCTGATCAATGTGGAAGGGCCCTAAGGTACGTAATGATCCTAAATGGTATTATTCACATTCTGTACCTGTATTACATTCAGCTTAGCTGTATCTAAAGAAAATAGAAAGCACAGGCAAGCATTAAGCTGATTTTTTTTTTTTTTTTCACACATTAAAAGACTAACCATTGGTGAAGACTGTAACCTATACATCCATACTGGCCATAGACTGCAGCCCTCTACAGACTCTACATCGGCAAAATCACTGCAGTGATCTATAGCCGTATTTAGGTATTCAGTGTATTCAACAATCTAAATCACATAAGGCAGCTCTTTCACCAAAGAGACATGGGAAGAAAAATATTTTTATGGTAAAGGATGTCCTTGGATGTTTAAAAATTGTAGCTCTCTAGTGTGTTGGAAACGCTGAAACATTTCAAACCAAGAGCTTTTTCTTCCACAATCCGTCAGCTACACATTTTCAGTGGGTGTCAGGAATCCAGATGTTGGTCCCTAGTAAGGTGTCACAGTGCCATCTGTCGTGTATTTATAACTCAGAGCCCTACAATTGCGTACATGCTGCACCAAACACATTCCTTTTTTTGAAGAGGATAAATTTGTCTAAAATGCCTAACAAGCTTTCAGCAGAAGAATAGAGACACAGGTCGCATGTGTGGCAGAACAGCGATTAATTCAATACCACAAAATCTAACGAATGTGGAATTCGATAGTAATCTGGAATCAGGGTGCACCCTCTGTCAACTGCTGCTCTGCATAATGTAGAGCAGGGGTGTCAAACTGGTGGTCCTCCAGCTGTTTTGAAACAAGTCCCATCATGCCTCTGCCTTTGGGAGTCATGCCTGTACCTGTCAGCCTTGCAATGCCTCATGGGACTTGTAGTTTGGCAATAGCTGGCTGCCAGTTTGACACCCCTGATGTAAGAGCATAGCTGAACAAATCCAAGGAGCAAGGTAGCCAATACCCCTTCAAAATTCTAACTTTTGAGATTATCTCTAGTTGTCAGTGGAGATGGCTCCTAGAAAAACAAAAAGCAGTACAGTATATACCATGAAAGGCCACCACATCCCTGTGCTAGTCATACAATTACATTTTCTATGTCCGTGGGACTTAAAAACAGCCAAATCCTATTATTTATTTATTTTTTTAATTTAAATATTCCATATTTTAATAATACAAAAAGTTAAAAATACACATCCTAAAATTACATCAATGATCTGATACATGTATTCTAGAAGATACATGTATATTCTTTTGCCCTAGAAACCTGAAGCAGGATGATTCACAGATTTTTTTTTTTATTTTTTCTAAAATAACTTCAAGAAGTATATCCTGCCAGGAAAGTCCCAACACATTTCAGTTGATCTCTCAGAAAGTTCAGGCAACAAAGGAAAATGTACCCTAAATGTAATGCTATCAAATCTGTGTGTGTTTAAATGGCAGATAGCGTTACCACAAACCCATGAGTTCCAAAAGGCTCAGTAATGCCCATCATCAAGCCCATGAGGAACCACTTGAACTATCCACCATAGGCTAGTGAAATCCACCAACCAGGGGGACAGGCATATATGTCAACTTTTAACGCTTGATGGAAGTGTATTCTTAAGATTATTTAGGCAACTTCAAAAACAAGGGTGGGAATCCCATCAGGCCTAGGATCAAGCAGCCTGTCTCTCATCTAAGTGGTCGCCTCCAAGCATGTCAAATTGACATTTATGGCCCTTCCCCTGGTTGGTGGCTTTTGATTTAGACACTGATTGTTGAAAGATTTTCCTTGAGCCAGGTGGCACCTACAAGGCCACCCACAGTTTGGATTTCAGCTGACGGTTCAGGGAGCAGCTAAAATTTGAGCTGTGTTTGGCCAGCTTTATACATCTGATTGATGAAGCAATTTGCTTGTCAATGAGAGTGGGGAAAAAAAGGTGTGTATGAACACTGCTGCCATTTTATGTGAGGACTGGCCTTATTCTTTTATTTATTTATTTTTAGACAAGAAAATGGCTGTCACTAGGAAAGAAATCAAGCCACAACAGCCACACAGGCCCTGGTGGCAGGGGGTGGGTTCAGTCTCTGTGAACACAATACAAAACTTGTGGGTGCTGCTCAGACTCTAAGGCAGGGGTCCTCAAACTTTTTAAACAGGGGGCCAGTTCACTGTCCCTCAGACCATTGGAGGGCTGGACTATAGTTTAAAAACAAAAAAAAAAAACTATGGTCATCTCTTGTACTGTGTCCGCATTTGTTCAGAGACTGCGGACATACAACGGCAGTGGGAATACTGGGCCGGCCGCTCTATAAGACGCACAGACATTTCCCCCCAAGTTTATCTTATGGAGCGAAATAGTGCCCCATCATTGGTGTCAGTGGGAGGAATAATGCCCCATCATTATTATTAGTGACACCAATGATGGGGCACTATTCCTCCCACTGACAGCAATGACACTTAACTAGCCGATCCCTGTTCCAGCATGGTGCTGCTGCAGCCAGCATACCTGGTTGCAGCAGTACCATCTGCACGGCACACTTACCGGGCGGTCAGCTGTCCTCCTTCCTTCACTTCGGCCTCTCCCTCCCTTGATTTTCACGGGGCCGCTCGGCTCCGCCTCCTCGCCGATGATTGGCCGCCTGTGTGCCTTTCCTGAGCTACAGTACTGGAGCCCAATCACCGGTGAGGAGGCGGAGCCGAGCGGCAGTGTGGACATCGAGTGAGGGAGCGGCCGGAGTGAAGGAGCTGCGCGTCCTGGACTGGATCGTCGTGGGACTGGAGCCAGGTAAGAGACAGGATTCCCCTGCCCGCCCCTGTACTTAGTGTCCCCTGCCGGCGGGCTGGATGAATGTGCACGGCGGGCCGCATGTGGCCCGGGGGCCCCTTAGTTTGAGGACCCCTGCTCTAAGGGCTTGTTCACCATGGTGCAAAGAAATCCGTTTTTCTGCACAAGTTCTGCAAGGGCACAACAAAATCTATTGTTCTCTATGTGCCCTGTTCACACCACAACACTAGTACAACGTGCAGAATTGTTCTGCGTAGGAATCTGCAACATATATAAAACTAATTGAAGCGTGTGTGAAAACTGATGCAAACTGATGTGTCTGCAAGTGAAATCTGTGCATCAGTTTTTCTAAACTTCTGAACGAGGCCGGGATCCTGATCTGTAAGCTAACTGCTGTGAGTGCCAACTAGGACGGACCTCGTCCTGGCTCCACACAATGTATGAAGATAAAGGTGTCCTGTAAGCTACATATCGCTGGAAACCCTGTACAGAGAGTGTATAACAGCTAGGCCACATCCCCAACAAGTTTCACACCACCCCTGGAGCTTATTCATCAAGATCCGGTGGTGGAGCAAAACGCGTTGGGGGTGGCCTGGTTGGAGCCTGGGCTGAGGCTGTTATACACTGTCCTTACAAGGCTCTCAGCAATGTGTGGCTTACAGGACATCTTTCTCTTCATACACTGGGCTCCGTCCATGTCGGAAAAAGAATAAGTACAATACTTGCCTTATTCCTTGTTCCCAGAAGAGAGGCTCCCAGGATTAAGGTAGGCCCTTGGAATCTGCATATAGGGTACAATGCTGCTGGATGTGTCTGTGTGCCTGCTTGGTCCGCAACCGCAGTCCGTGAACATGAAGAAAGGAAGCAGTGGTACTCCAATGTACAAGCAGCAGACTTTACTATTCAACCCATGAAGATAAAGAGGCCACAATACATTAAGGGAACATCAGTAGATGTGTTTCATACTCCTTCAGTGCTTATTCATTACTGAAAGCTCCATGAACTCTCACTCCTTTTGATCCTCCATCAACAGGTAAAGTCAACCCAAATGAACCCTCCCCACATAAAGTGGAAGGGTAAGCTCAATAGCAAACATTTAAAACTAGTAGGAATATCTCTCAACTGATCCCCACTGAGCAAACGAATGACAGGTCCGTGTCCACTCCTCTGCTGCAGAGCACACTCTACTCACTGTCCTCTATGAGCGGTCTGCCATCTCAATCCATCCGATGGATTGAAGGGGAATGGATTCCCATCCATCTCTTTTTGGCAGATCAGATTGGATTGAATGTTGCAGATGTAAACAGACACCTGTCCGTTTACACTTGCCGCTCTGTAAATGAGAATAGAGGGTCCGATCAGGTCCACCTGAAAGGCAGGCAGAACTGATTGGAACGTCCGTGTAAAAGGGGCTTTAGATAAATCCACCTAGGAAGTCCACACCTACCTTTTAAGAGCAATCTATAAAGGTATGATGTGGAGATCCACACAAACCCATTCCGGGTAGAGACAAAAAAAGCCCTTGGAATTCTTGTGTACGGTACAGCTGGTCAAGCAGCGAAGAGAAGCTCAAACCAGCTTTGTTTTCAATAGATTATGAAGCACAAGCTGTACTCCGTGTCCCTCTGACATCTGTACAAGAAAGAAGTGAAAGGGAAAACCTGACAAATGAAGTTAGACAAAAGTAAAAACCTGGCAGAATTTTTATAGCTGAATCCTGGTTAGGGTAAAAGTTAATCGTCTGATACCCCAGAACTACTGGAGTTTAATGCTCATTTTGTTTACAGGGGTAGGAATAAGGTGAAATATTTTATTCCTCACTTCTGCAGGCTTCCTCTTTTCCAAATGACCGTTCTCCCAGAGCTGCACGACTGGTCGCAGCTCTCGAATGTCGTCATATAGGATACAGGGTTAGTGGTCCTGTATTGTACACAAGGATGTAAAGGGTCTGCCTTCATCCAGGTAGTAGAGGAAAACCCTGGGAGTGAGGAATAAGGTAAGTATGGTGCTTATTCCGATCTCCCTAGACGAAATAAGCATTGGCGGGAGCACTGCTAGGTTAACTTTTTTTCCATTTACTAAGACTAACTTCTGTATTAGAAATTGGTAAATGGTCATTCTACCCTAAAGTCCTATCTCATAATTGATATTTAGGGAACCAGATGCCCAGTAGTGTCTCTTATGTCTTGAGGGCGCAAACCTGCAATTGTCTCTAGCTTTGTTGATCTCCACGTTGGAGCCCAAAGTCTTCCACTTTTTGGGTTTTAGCCATTTTGTACTCCCATGGTGCCTAATCTGTGGTCCCTGGTCTTAACAGTACAGTCCTCAGGCCCAGCAGCTAGTAATGTGAGCAATGATTAATGAAGAAGTTTTAATGGCCATGGTCTCAAGCAGTTTAATGCAACCTGTTCCCAGTCTCAGTACACATGTAGCATGTCACCAGTCACCACCCATCTCTAATAGTATGTTAGTCAATTTCTATAGTGCTACAGAGGATTGTCTGAAACTGTTATTATATGTGTCTCCCTTGGAATGTCAGGGACTGCAGTTGAGGCCCTGTGTTTGCAACCAATGATCTATCTGAATCAAAAAATGTACTATTATGCAAGAGCAAGGCAGGCAGGTTTGCAAGTCACATAATTCACTTAACTAGATGATAGATTAATACAAATATCAGATGACTGATATCTGTGCTGAAAGCAAAACATTACCGTATTCCATTTTTTTTCCACAGGTGTAACAAGTTCCAAATTTATGCAGATTCGTGAAGTAAAATATAATTCATACTGGATGATCTCTGGATTATAAACTCTTCATCAAAGTCATTTTATCTGTTCAACCTCCTACTGAAGAAGTAGTAAACGAACAGCATGGCTAGTAAACGAAAGTCTACAACACCGTGCATGGTACGGGCCTCTGAGCTTGTGGATCAAGACGATCAGGATATGGACATTGTAAGTAATGCCAATGCACCCAGTCCTGAAATCAAGAAAGACTGGTCTGGGGACAAGGAAAAGGCAGCTGAGAACAATGAAGTGGTGGAAAGTAAGCCTCCTGAAAATCAATCCAGAAGGCTTCAGGGTGGTTACGAGTGCAAGTATTGTCCATACGTAACACAGAACCTTAATGAATTTACTGAACATGTAGATATGCAACACCCGAACGTCATTCTTAATCCACTTTATGTTTGTGCTGAATGTAACTTCACAACAAAAAAATACGATTCTCTATCTGACCACAATTCAAAGAATCACCCTGGAGAGAGCAACTTCAAATTAAAACTCATGAAGCGCAATAATCAGACTATCTTAGAACAATCCATCGAGGGTGGTGGGGATGTTTCTAGCACCCACGACAACACTGAGACTGACGATAATGCGTCAGGCATATCAATACCTAAAATGCCTATTATGAAGCTTGGAAGAAGCCGATTTGAAGGAAGGAGGTCATCAAGGAGGAATGAGGAATCTTTGCTTGACTATCAGTTTGGCTTCAGTGCATCTCTTCCGGAAACAAATGGGTTTTCTGGGAATGGTCTAACTCATGTCATGCCATCTGTTCAACTTCCACCCAACATCCACCTCCTTCCAAAAGTTGCGGTGCCACTGAACAGCAACAAATATAACTCTGCTCTTGACACTAATGTAACCTTGATCAGCTCATTTAACAAATTTCCTTACCCAACGCAAGCAGAGCTGTCGTGGTTGACCGCGGCTTCAAAACATCCTGAAGAGCAAATCAGAATCTGGTTTGCTACCCAGAGATTAAAGCATGGTATAAGCTGGTCCCCAGAAGAGGTAGAGGAGGCCAGAAAGAAAATGTTCAATGGGACTATACAGTCTGTTCCCCACACCTTCACAGTATTACCAGCCCCCTTAACTACTACGGCTAAAATTGCACAGCCTATTATCCAGACTGCAGTACCGTGTCAAATCATTGGTCAGCCTGGTCTAGTCTTAACTCAATTAACAAATGCTTCTGCGGTTACAATTCCTTCACTCCCTGTTAGTATTGGCACTACTCCAAGTCAAACCCAGAAACGCACCATGCAGAGCCCCCAAGAAGCACCTGAGCCAAAGCGTCAGAGTACGGGACAGGTTCCATCTCCATCTACTCCCAGGTTACACTCTGTGTCCTCACGGCATGAACGTAAAAAGACCCATGAACAGATATCGCTTTTAAAAGCTAGCTTTGTCATGAGCCAGTTCCCTGATGATGCCGAAGTTTACAGGTTAATAGATGCCACTGGCTTGCCCAGAAGTGAAATTAAGAAATGGTTTAGTGACCATAGGTATAGAAGCCAGAGAGGTCTTGTTAATATCACCAGTGAAACCTTAATCAAAGACCAGCTGTCTGGCCGGACCCGTCGCCCTTACCATTACAGGGATTTGGGTCGAAAGGTTGCACTGACAACAGAGGATCAAATTCAATGTCTTGAAAGCAGTTTTGCAAAAAGCCCGTATCCCACACAAGCGGAAATTGATCGCTTGCGATCAGAGACGAAACTGTCCCGAAGAGACATAGACTTGTGGTTCTCCGATAGAAGGAAGACGAAAGATTCCGTGGAGCAAGAAGTTTTAGATGCTATGGGCTCTGAAAATGATGGGTTTATGAATGGGGCAACAACTCATTCTGGGGGCTCTTCCCCACAGATCAAATCAAGACAGGAGCAGCTTCACCTCTTAAAAAGTACCTTTGCAAGAACCCAGTGGCCATCTCCACAGGAGTACGACCAATTAGCAGCACAGACTGGGCTTGTTAGGACAGAAATTGTAAAATGGTTTAAGGATCACCGATGTGTTCTCCGAACTGGCAGTTTAAGATGGATGGAACAATACCGCAAAAATTACGAACGCTCTCTAGAAGAGCGGAAAAGGTTCATCAAAATGGTGTCTGCCACAAAGGCAGGCAAGGAGATTCTAGTGGAGTATTTCCAGGAATATGGTCAGCTCCATGATGAGGACCTTGAGCTTCTCATGCTCAAGAGTAAAATGAATTCTGAGCAAGTCAAGGCTTATTTGGGGGAAATGCAGGAACAAGTGGCTCTAGATCAGCTGGACAATGATCAAGATGATAAATACGATACAGAGAGCGAACCCAAGGACTGGAACAGGTCCTTACATGATGATGAAGACATCATTTCAGATGGTGGGGACAGCTGGAGCCATACTGGACAGGATACCCTAGATGACACAGCGGACTATGAGTATGAAAATATTCCCAATGAGGACTCTAACCAGGTAATTAACACAAGGATATGCAACATTTTCAAAAAAGTAGTTTTATGTGCTTTTTCTTCTTGCTAATATTGGTACTAATAAACCATGTCTTAAAAGGTTTCCTGGGTAGGAAACCATCTATTATGGATTCAGAAGACATTTAGGGGCAGCTCTGCACAGAAACCAATCGGCTTCCAGGTTTTATTGTCAAAGCCTAACTGAGCAAGCTGAAGTTAGAAGCTGATTGGCTACCATGCACAGCTGCACCAGATTTTGTACTCTCCAGTTTCAGTAAATCAGCCTATTTGTTTTCAGTTTAGGTAACTGAAATCTGTTTTTATACTTAATTGCCAGATCAACTTAAATTGAAATCAGGCTTGCACTCTGAGCATCTGGATAGTAGTTTGAACAGTAATGTATTAGAGGCTGAATGGGTTTTGTAGTGACAAGATGGATGGTGCCACCCAAATATGAGCAGTGTGTGTCACCAGCACATGCTCAAATAGTGTGTTTTTGTTCTGTGGTTTTTTGGGGTTTTTTTTTTTTACATTGAGAATCTGGACATTTCAAGACCACACAAGGGCCTCTTTATCTAGACAAGTGATATTGCTTACAGAGCATTGAAAAAGTATTCATACCCACTTGAAATTTTCCACATGTTATGTTACAACCAAAAACGTAAATGTATTTTTTGGGAACTTTATGTGATAGACCAGTGATGGCGAACCTTTTTGAGCCCGAGTGCCCAAACTGCAACCCAAAACCAACTTATTTCTCTCAAAGTGCCAACACTGCAATTAAACCTGAATATCGAGCTTTTGGTTTAGAAAAAACAACTCGTACAGTAGTGCAAACTAATTAACAGTACACGGATGACCAGAGACTGCGGACACACAGTACAGGGATGACCAGAGACTGCGGACACAGTACAGGGATGACCAGAGACTGCGGACAGTACAGGGATGACCAGAGACTGCGGACACAGTACAGGGATGACCAGAGACTGCGGACACAGTACAGGGATGACCAGAGACTGCAGACACAGTACAGGGATGACCAGAGACTGCAGAGACACAGTACAGGGATGACCAGAGACTGCAGACACAGTACAGGGATGACCAGAGACTGCAGACACAGTACAGGGATGACCAGAGACTGCGGACACAGTACAGGGATGACCAGAGACTGCGGACACAGTACAGGGATGACCAGAGACTGCAGTACAGGGATGACAGAGACTGCGGACACAGTACAGGGATGACCAGAGACTGCAGACACAGTACAGGGATGACCAGAGACTGCGGACACAGTACAGGGATGACCAGAGACTGCGGACACAGTACAGGGATGACCAGAGACTGCGGACACAGTACAGGGATGACCAGAGACTGCGGACACAGTACAGGGATGACCAGAGACTGCGGACCACAGTACAGGGATGACCAGAGACTGCGGACACAGTACAGGGATGACCAGAGACTGCAGACACAGTACAGGGATGACCAGAGACTGCGGACACAGTACAGGGATGACCAGAGACACAGTGCAGAGACTGCGGACACAGTACAGGGATGACCAGAGACTGCAGACACAGTACAGGGATGACCAGAGACTGCGGACACAGTACAGGGATGACCAGAGACTGCGGACACAGTACAGGGATGACCAGAGACTGCAGACACAGTACAGGGATGACCAGAGACTGCACAGTACAGGGATGACCAGAGACTGCGGACACAGTACAGGGATGACCAGAGACTGCGGACAGTACAGTACACAGTACAGGGGATGACCAGAGACTGCGGACAGACAGTACAGGGGATGACCAGAGACTGCGGACAGTACAGGATGACCAGAGACTGCGGACAGTACAGGGATGACCAGAGACTGCGGACAGTACAGGGGATGACCAGAGACTGCGGACAGTACAGGGGATGACCAGAGACTGCGGACAGTACAGGGGATGACCAGAGACTGCGGACAGTACAGGGATGACCAGAGACTGCGGACAGTACAGGGGATGACCAGAGACTGCGGACAGTACAGGGGATGACCAGAGACTGCGGACAGCACAGGGGATGACCAGAGACTGCGGACAGCACAGGGGATGACCAGAGACTGCGGACAGCACAGGGGATGACCAGAGACTGCGGACAGTACAGGGGATGACCAGAGACTGCGGACAGACAGGGGATACAGGGATGATGACCAGAGACTGCGGACAGCGGGGATGACCAGAGACTGCGGACAGCACAGGGGGATGACCAGAGACTGCGGACAGTCAGGGGATGACCAGAGACTGCGGACAGCACAGGGGATGACCAGAGACTGCGGACAGCACAGGGGACAGGGGACAGCATGACCAGAGACTGCGGACAGCACAGGGGATGACCAGAGACTGCGGACAGCACAGGGGATGACCAGAGACTGCGGACCAGCACAGGGATGACCAGAGACTAGCACAGGGGATGACCAGAGACTGCGGACAGCACAGGGGATGACCAGAGAGCTGCGGACAGCACAGGGGGATGACCAGAGACTGCGGACAGCACAGGGGATGACCAGAGACTGCGGACAGCACTAGGGATGACAGAGACTGCGGACAGCACAGGGGGGATGACCAGAGACTGCGCCAGAGACTGCGGACAGCACAGGTGATGACCAGAGACTGCGGACAGCACAGGGGATGACCAGAGACTGCGGACAGCCGGGTGACCAGAGACAGGGACAGCACAGGGGGATGACCAGAGACTGCGGACAGCACAGGGGATGACCAGAGACTGCGGACAGCACAGGGGATGACCAGAGACTGCGGGACAGACAGGGCATGACCAGAGACTGCGGACAGCACAGGGATGACCAGAGACTTGCGGACAGCAGGATGACCAGAGACTGCGGACAGTACAGAGATGACTGCTGACCTTTGGGGAGGGAGGGGGAGCGGGTACCTGAATTTGACAGGTACCCGCTCTTACTTCCGCAGAGTTTTTTTTTTATCTTACCTGTTCCTTTATCCAGCCCGCGCTGTCTTCCCGGCTTCTGTAGTGTGGGCGCTCGTCGGACAGCCGGATGCCCAGTGCGCATGCGAGAGAAGCGCTGCGCTTTGTGATTGGTCCGGCGGCTTCTGGGATCTGTCATGTGTCCCAGGTACCGCCTTACCATTCACAAAGAGCACTGCTTCTTGTGCATGCGCACTTGGGACCCGGCTGTCACGCACACTACAGCCGGGAAGACAGCGCGCCGCTGGATTCTCCTGGCGTGCCCACAGATGAGGCTCGGCGTGCCGGCTGTGGCACGCCATCACTGTGATAGACTAACAGAAAGTGGCACATAACTGTGAAGTGGAAGGAAAATGATAAATAGTTTTCAAAATGTTTTACAAATATGTGAAAAGTGTGGCGTGCATTTGTATTCAGCCCCCCTGAGACAATACTTTGTAGAACCACCTTTCACTGCAATTACAGCTGCAAATCTTTTTGGGGATGTCTCTACCACTTTGCACATCTAGAGAGTGAAATGTTTGCCGATTCTTCTTTGCAAAATAGCTCAAGCTCTGTCAGATTGGATGGAGAGCGTCTTGCCACAGATTCAGGTCTGGACTTTGACTGGGCCATTCTAATACATGAATATGCTTTGATCTAAACCATTCCATTGTAGCTCTGGCTGTATGTTTAGGGTTGTTTGTCCTGCTGGAAGGTGACCCTACATCCCAGTCTCAAGTCTTTTACAGACTCTTGACAGGTTTTACTCTAAGATTGCCCTGTATTTGGCTTCATCCATCTTCCCGTCAACTCTGACCAGCTTCCCTGTCCCTGCTGAAGAAAAGCATCCCCACAACATGATGCTGCCACCACCAGGTTTCACGGTGGGAATGGTGTGTTCAGGGTGATGTGCAGTGTTTATTTTTCCGCCACACAGTGTTTTTTGCTTTTAGGCCAAAAAGTTCAGTTTTGGTCTCATCTGACCAGAGCGCCTTCTTCCACATGTTTGCTGTGTCCCCCACATGGCTTCTGCAAATGGGACTTCTTATGGCTTTCTTCTTGCCACTCTTCCAAAAAGGCCAGATTTGTGGAGTGCACGACTAATAGTGTGTTCCTTGGCCTTCATGAAGCTGTTTGGTCACTAATGTTCTCTAACCTACCTCTGAGGGCTTCACAGAACAGCAGTATTTATACTGAGATTAAATTACACACATGTGGACTCTATTTACTAATTAGGTGACTTTTGAAGGCAATTGGTTCAACCAGATTTTTATTTAGGGGTATCAGAGTAAAGGGGGCTGAATACAAATGCATGCCACACTTTTCAGATATTTATTTGTAAATAATTTTGAAAACCATTTATAATTTTCCTTCCACTTCACAATTATGAGCCACTTTGTGTTGGTTTATCACATAAAATCCCAATAAAATACAGTTACATTTCTGGTTATAACATGACAAAATGTGGAAAATTTCAAGGAGTAAGAATACTTTTTCAGGCGCTGTATGTGCTTCGAGATCTAAAGGGAGGTTGTGTAGGTGGACTCTGTAGAAGTGAGGAGGATCAGTACAGGTGCCCTTAGGCATGATACAAGACTTCAGATTATCTCAGGCATGTGGGCAGCTGCTGACAGATCCCAGCGTAACAAGCAGTTAGACCTAAAGGACCTTCAGCCAGTGCTGTTCACTAAGCTTAACCAGTGCAGTCTTCAGTATCTGCACTGTGCCTTCCCTCCAACTGCTGTGTGAACTAAATAGGTAAAATGACCCTTGTAGTGGGGCTTCCCTCACAATGCAGGGGTTAAATGCTTGTTAAATCTTGGGCAGTGGTTTAGAACTTCAGTCCTTAACCACTTGCCCTCCAGAGGATTTACCCCCCTTCCTGACCAGGTTATTTTTTTGCGATACGGCACTGCATTACTTTAACAGACAATTGCGCGGTCATGCAATGCTGAACCCAAATGGGATTTATGTCCTTTTCCCACAAATAGAGCTTTCTTTTGGTGGAATTTGATTGCCTCTGCATTTTTTTATTTTTTG